CTTCCATTATTTCGTCAGAGAATATTATCATTGCCCTATTATGTCATTCATGTCCCTCGGGGACACTAGATATATCAGTACCTATTATTTCACTTCACGTGAAGGCGCGTTCCCGGGGGCGCGCCTTCCATTATTTCGTCAGAGAATATCATTGCCCTATTATGTCACTCATGTCCCTCGGGGAATAACTTAAATTTAACTTCTTTTGAATGTTCAACAAGTTAAGAATAACTTAAATTAAAACGTTATGATCGTTGAATAAATTAGATAAAATGTTATTGATAAATTGAATAAATGTGAAGTGATAAGTTGATTGTGACATTGAAATTGTATGGAATGAGCATTGAAATGTGACATTGAATAAATTGCCAATTCACCCCCCTCTTGGTTGATTCCGTCGATCGATGAACTCAACATAAGTTGATTTTAATGTATACGTTTTAATATATATGTTAATGATAAAATCATATGTATGGAGTCCTTTAATTTCAATTTAAGTATTGTGAACTATAATTGGAATATAACTTTTAATTTCGAATACAATTGGAATATTAAGTTGAAATTTAAATTTGAATAATATTATTTTTATTTTTATTTTAAATTTCGAATAATATAATTTGTATTTTAAAAACATTTATCAAACATTTAATGTTAAATGTGAATAAAAAATAACAAAAAAAATATGTATGTAACAACCATGAAACATTTAAATAACATAACCAAATTACATAAAATTCTGAAATTTAATTATTTAAATAACATTAAATATAACTGGATCACCGATGTCGTCGTCTCGAATGAGTTCCACATGGCGGTGGTTGCCTATTTCGTGGAGGATTTCTTCGTGGAACTTGTTCTTCAGTCTCCTCATCTTCACTATCATCATCAGCAGCATTTTCTTCATTTGGTGCAGATGACGCTGAAGGGGCTGAAGGGCCTGTATAAAGTAACGACCCTGGAGGAGTGCTAGTAACAATCCCACCGCTCCCCGGGAACTGTGGAAACTGTGGAAACATTGGCATCGATGTATGTGATCCAGATGAAGATTGAGGTGTCTGCGGAGAAGCACCACCAGCCAAATAAGATGCATATGAAGCATATGCTGGATCATTAAACATAGTCGTATATGCACCTCCATATGGTATAAAACCCTGCGGGCTAGGCATGTAACCTGGCGGGCTAGGCATGTAACCTGGCGGGCTAGGAATGTAACCCTGCGGGCTCGGAATGTAACCCTGCGGAGATGGCATATAAACTGGTGGGCTTGGCATATGAAGTGGAGGGCTGGGCATGTACCCCTGCGGCATCGACGAATAAGGATGTTGTGGTGGGACTGATGCAGAACCGGTAGCGCCTTCTCTCCGTCCACGCGTCGGGGGATGATGATATTGAGACGTTGACGTCTTTCTCGGCGCCTAGGAATGTTAACCCCCTCGTGCTTCCGCCGAAAGTAGAAACGGCTTCCCATTTTCATTAAACCAGTCCATATAGTTATCCGTAACCATATGACCAGTTTCACGTAATATTGTCGAGGGGCCAACAATGTATATCGGTTCTCCCAAAGCGCAATCCAATCTCTGTGTCTCACCACCCAGTTAACATCTTTCTTTCCCCGTCTATCTATGTTATGCACGTCGTCTAAATTTCTAGGAGCTCCAGGAATATATTGCGTACAACCATACTGACGGAGCACGCGATCAACTGGATGCCACTCAATAATAGCATAATATAAGAGTATAACCGATATCCATACCTCTAATGACCCTCTAAGGTGGGGTGGGATGCAAGCTTTCACTTCATCGCTCGCATAAGGTATCCACTGAAACTGAAATATAAATATACAATTCAATAAATAAAATATTCTAATTATATCTAACATTTTAAATTAAATATTAATAATTAAACAAATTTAAAAACATACCTCAGACACAGCTTTCGTATCAATAAGTAAACGAATTTCCTCTAAAACAGTAGGTATACTTTTATGGTCCTTTCTTTTCATCGACCACCTATGAAAATAATATAAACTAAATATCACCCTATTTAATTGAAAATATTTAAATCAAAATTTAGTTCGAAAATTACCTCAACAATAAGGGGAATACGTATGGTTCATTCACGATCGGGCATAAGAAAGGCATGCGGAACCACGCCCATGATTGTAGAAGCAGAAGACATCCACCGATAGCAGTTTTCTTATAATTCGTCGCCCGACACATTTCTCTAAAGAGAAATGCCAAAAAACTGCAGCACCCCAACTATATCTTCCAGCTTCATCAAAATCGATCAGATGCCGCAACCACATACAATGCACCTGGTTGCGAGATTTGTCGGGCATCAATATTCCTCCAATATTCGTAGAATATATGCCCGAGCACATGCCTTTGCTTGATCCTCTGAAGCATTTTCATTTAAAACCTCAATTAGCTTTCAACCAGATAAAGCTATTCTACCTCCATTAAACTCTGGCGGAGCAGCTCCAAGATAATCAATGCACATTGATTGCCAATCACCATCCGCCATACCACACATCATATTTCCGTCGACGGGAAGCCCCAGATGCATAGAGACATCCTCCAATGTAATTGTTGCCTCTCCACATGGAAGGTGAAAAGTGTGTGTCTCGGGCCTCCACCTCTCAATCAGTGCAGAAATTAGGACAGGTTCGAGTTTGCAACCGCCTATAATTGTTGCAATATCCGAACCCAGCAGAAGCCAAATATGGCAAAATACGTTCCGGTGTCGGTATACGTGGATTTTTAATAAAAGTTTCTAAAATACGATCAGCATCCTAAATAATATATTATAAAAAGTAAAATTAATATAAATTCATAATAACTTTAAAATAAAAATAAATTTAAATATTAACATTTTATAAAAATATACCATATCGCTAAAATGTCTGGAGATATGATCAATATCCAATCGCAACAGCATTTCGTTTTCCATTATAACTGTAGAAAAAACAATATAATTAGCAAAAAATTAATAATCTAAATAAATAATAATTATATAAATATTATTTTAATAAAAAAAATAATATTTACATAAATATATTAATATAAAAATAATAACTATTTAAAAAAATACTAACATAAAAATAAATTTCTTACCACTAATAACAAATTTAAAACTCAAATAGTTGGAGAATTTGAGTATATAAGAGAGGAGAAGATGATTTTGGTGTGAAGAATGAGTGAGGGTTGAGGGGGTTTATATAGGGAGGAGGAGGGGTAGTTAGGAAAAACGGATGGGGGCATTTATGACATTTAATGGAAGGCGCGTCCCCGGGGATGCGCCTTCACACGTGTCTGCTGATATGGCAAAGGCGCGTCCCCGGGGACGCGCCTTTCACACGTGGCATCCAACTCAGCGAAAACACGGGTAAAGCGCGTCCCCGGGGACGCGCCTTTGCCAACTCAGCAGAAAGGGTGCTAGTTTTGAAAATATTGGTCAAACGGTGTTAGAAAAGTAAAAATAAAAATAAACGATGTCAGTGGGGTAAAAAAGCCCAAGGTAGCTAATATTTACACATATTTTTTTTTAAAAAAACTGACGTTCATGGGCCCACGTGTTCCTCTCTACTTGTCGGCACTTGGTATATATATATATATATATATATATATATATATATAACTCCCTAGCTACCTTCAAAAGTGGCGCCTAACTCCGTCTATTTTCTACGGACCTCCGTTTGTATTCAATTACAAAACTACCCTGTAATGTAACGTATTCTTATACAATAAATTTTAGGATAAATTACATAAATGGTCTTCCGATTATAAGGTGATATTTTGTTGAGTTCGCTAACTATTAAAAGTTACAAAATAATCTTTCAATCACATTTATTGAGTCTCCGACTATTAAAAATTACAAAATAATCACTTGACTATTCACATGTTCTAAACTTATCATTTTCCGTTAAAAATTTTGCAGTCGTCTGAGTTTGACGTTAATATGTTCACACAGATTTGATTAAAATTTGATCTCATAATTATTTGAGTTGTAATTTATGGATCTAGTCTCAATTTATATTATACTATTGAGTTAGTGTTTGAAACATTATGACATCGAACAAGTGCTGAAAGCAACAACTACAACAGTAAACATCATTAAAATATAATTTTATCATATTTTAGCCAATATGTTAACGTCCAATTCAAACATCTATCAATTTTTTAACAGAAAATGATGAGTTTGAAATATATGAATAGTTAGGTTATCATTTTGTAACTTTTAGTAATAGGGGACTCAACAAAATAATGTCTAATAGTAGAGGATTATTTGTATACTTTATCCTAAATTTTATTTAATTTGATTTTCGAGGTATTTTATAGATATTTGAATATTTTTGTTTATGTGAATTTTTTGTTATATATTAAAATAATTAAAAACGTTCTTCTATTTATTTGATACATATAATATTTTTATCAAATATTATGAAAAAATAATTAATTTTAAATTTTATATGTATATGTATATCACAGGGATGTAATTAAATTCACAAAATTATTTTCTGCTTTAAGTTCACTTTTTCGCTGTTTTTAAAATTTAATTTTAGAATAAGAAATATTTTTGGGAACAAAAGTAATAAAGAATAAAGTTGAAAAATATTTTTATTATAAAAATTATTTTCCAAATCGATCTCTATAAAAAATTCGTAGATTATATATTATTAAAAAAAGTAGGTTTTGAAAGGAAATTTGTAAATATTTTGAGAAAATGTAAGAACCAAAAAAATATTATCCATAAAATTTAAGAATTATTCGTCCAATAAAAAAAGATTTTTTAAACACTGTTAAAGGGCAGCCATGGAAATAATTGAGGTTGGCAATTGCAAGGAAAGCCCCATTTCCATCCAGCTTGACTTGTTCTCCTTCTTATTCTATTATTTTCTCTTTCAACCTTTTATATTCCGATGGAGAAAAACGTGCTTTAAATGAAATAAATAAAGAAACCAGGACAACTCACAGCTAATCAGGTTCAAAGAACATGGTGCGAGAGACATTTGTGGTAACTTGCTTTCCCCCACTTGTATTTCTTCCTGTCTTCCTCCTTTTAGGCTCCTCCAGTTCTCCCTCAAAGTGGCAAAAACGTTTACAAACACTCTCAAATTTGATGTTTCAGTAGGATTTTGCAACAGCAGAAGAAGCTTGAGGGTGATTTTCAGACAACAGAAGAAGAATTCAGAGAGAAAGATGTCGAATTTAGGACAGAAATCTCATGAAAGAGCAAGCTTTGTCAATCTTCTGAGCCAGTACTTGAAAGAAAAAAGGAATCTTGGGGATTTCAGCGTTGGAATCTCTTCGAAACCTGATGATAAAGGTACCCCTTTTAGCTGTCTTCCTTGTTAGCTTTTGTGTTCATGGCTTGTATGATTTGTCAGAGATTTTTTTTCCTTTTTTTTCATGTGGGTGTTTTTAGAAATAAAATACAATTTCTCAGATTTGGAAAGACGGATGATTTTGTTCATGGTTTGGTTATGTTTGCAGGGCAACAAGCAAAAACAATGAACTTTTTGCACCACGTGGCTAATTCTTCGGAAAATTCAAGACCAAATCTCGTGGCGTCTACAGCGAATGTGAAATCTTCAGATTTCTACCCCTTTGGTGCCTCCGGTTCCAAAGAAGACGCCATTAACAAAACAGATCTCAGGTGTGTTCCGTGTTTTGTCTGATGTATTTTGATCCTGGATTTTATGCCAGGGAGCGAGTTTATAAAATTTTAGTAGCGGAATATAAGAACTTGAAATTTTCAGTGGACGATTCCGGTCCATCTCCGTAATGATTGTAATTGATGTGGTGGAACATGTATGAACCAAGAATGTTTTGTTCTTGGTGGTGTAGGAAACCAGCAGCAGTGGAACCAAAGAATGCTCAGCTGACCATGTTTTTCAATGGTCACGTGTTTGTATATAATGATTTCCCAGCAGACAAGGTGAAGGAAATCATGACCTTAGCTAACCAAGGAAGCTCAACAGCATATAGTGGTGTCAATGTTGCCGACTCTGCCATGGAAAAACCGAGTTATAAGATTGATGAAACCGATAACAATTCCGATATCCCCGACTTGAACATCGCCTCCGGAACTGCAAATACTCCGGCTCGAAGCCCTTCAGTCGAGCGACATCAGTATGGCAGTTCGGATTTGCGAATAGCAAGAAGGAATTCACTTCACAAGTTCTTTGAGAAGAGAAAAGACCGGTACAGAGTTGCTCAAGACCCTTTTGTTGTGCACTTCATTGTCGAATGATATCTCACTAACATCGTCATCGGTGACTTCATTTTTTTTTCCAGGGCAGCTGCGAGAGCACCGTACCAGTTGATGAACAACCGAGTCTCGCCGCCTCCGCCTAAACCTGACGGAAACAAGGCGTCATACGAGGAAGGTCAATCGTCGAAAGAAGCACCAAGAAACATTGATCTCAATTTATAGTTTATATATAGATTTTATGTAAGTTTGGTGCTTTGTGGATAAAACTTCATACACCCATTTCTATCACTTCTTAATGAAACCTTGTTAAGTAGTTAATTGAAATTGATTTTGCTATGTTTTTACTTTTTTATTTTTAAAGTATATTAGTTTATTTAATAATTATATATATTATTAATTAGAATAATATAAGAAAAAATCTGTTTAAAATTTTTTCAATCAATATTTCTTAAATAATTAACCATGAATTGTATTATTATATATAATTTTGAGCCGATATAATAAATATAACGGTAAAGTATAATAATGGTCATTGAATTTTTTTAAAATTTTCATTTAGGTTCTTAATTTTTAGAACATGCAATACAGTCTCTCAATACTGTATTGCAAGTTCTAAAAGTTAGGGATCATATTGTAAACAAACTAAATGTTGAGAGATTGTATTATAAATTTTAAAAGTTAGGGTCTTAAATGAAAGTTTTAGAAAAGTTAAACGACCATTACTATATTTTACCCTAAATATAAAAAAACGGAGAATTAATATCTATGAAATTGAAAACGGGCCGAACTAAGCTTAGGTCCTAAAATTTGAGTCAAGGGCGGACATTTTCTAAAGCAGGCCTTTTTCTCCAAGTCCATTTCTAATCTTAGTATTTTGGGTAAACTAAACCAAGGACATTAAACTATTAGATCTATTATATTTTGACTATTAAACTAAAATTGTATCAATTAGATCATTGACTTTTCAATTTAATTTCGATCAAGTCATTGACTATCAATTGTTAATCAAATTAATAATGTGATAATTAAGTAAATTTGTATAATAACACAATCATTCTTTATTAATTGTACAATCTAACAATTTATGCACTTAACTACTAAGCTAAGCTCACCGTTTGTTGAAAGAAAATTATATGTAGGTTTAATTATATCTGGTTAAAAATCAAGAAGAAGAGTACGTGTGTGCTTAATTATATGTAACTTTTATTCCGTTTTAGTCACTTAACTATTTTTTTTAAAATCATATCTAACATTTATTTTAGTTTTATTTTTGTCACCCATCGTTAAAAAATCATCGGTGATGCTGAGGTGTTACCATAAGATAATGACACATCATCATTGAAAAAAATAAAAAATAGCACATCAATAGTTATTTTAATTTTTTAATGGTATATGACCAAAATAAAACCAAAATGTAATGTTAACATTATTTTTGAAAAAATAGTTGAGTGACTTAAAAGAGATAAAAATGATAGTTGGGTACTAAATGTGTAGTTTACCAAAAATTATATTAAACGTGGCATTGCTTCATTTGTTGTTTGACAGAACAAGAAATATAGAGCAGTAACTTTATCCATTCCCTTATCCCACTATAAATACCTTTTTGGAGCCACTCGTTTTCTCCTCATCTCTCTTTAGGGGCCTCTTCTCTTTTTCCAGTTTTTTTTTCTTTTTTTTTTTCTGTTTCTTTCTCTCACTTTCTCGAGGCCTCCCGTACTCTGAACCCTAGCTGGAGAAAAATAAAAGGAAAACAAATTCGAAAGCGTAATTTTCTTGCAAACCAAACACCTCGATTAATTATCCCCCAGTCAATCGCCGAGTAAAAGAAAGAAAAATGCAGCACCAGAGGATGAAGCAACAGCAACAAGCCTTGATGCAACAAGCTCTTCTTCAACAACAGTCTCTCTACCATCCTGGCATATTAGCTCCTCCACAGGTTTTTCCACTATTTTTGTTTTTTTATGCCTTCAATTTTTTTTTTCAGTTTCTATTTTCATCGGTTATTGACGTATATTTTTTTCATCCTTTTCTTACGGTTTTTTCTGGATTTTTTTGAAATCATATTTCGATCTTCGAGCTCGTGTTTGATTTCTTTTTTGTGATTAATTCGTAGAGCTAGATTAGTTAGGTAATATCATTAGGTGATGCCTTTTTATGTATCTTTCTCTTTTGGTGGATTTTGTTTCTATTTTGTTGATTTTTTTCATGTGTCTTGCTCGGCTTTGAATGTGATTTTTTTTTTTCATTTCTGTTCTTTTTTTTCTGCTTTGTTTGTCGGCAATGTCTGTGCCTTTATCGTGCTTTTGGTGCAAACCGAAGCTCATTGTTTTGGTTAAATTTGATGAGAAATTGTTTTGTTTCTTAGTGTACTACTTTTTCATCGCGTGAAATTCCAGTGTTATTATTTCTCTTATATGAAGTTGCAGCCTTCATGATGATGAATTGCTTTGGTGTTTTCTTTCTCATTTAGCTGTGTTTCTCATCACTTGGTTTTATTTGGTTTCCTGTTAATTGAAACCTACATGTTGTTTTGCAAATATTGACAAACGATTTAATGTGTTTACGTAAACTTAGTTTACATCTTTCTTCTACGCAATCGCAATCAATTAAACAACCAGTCAATTTGTCTATGTTTAAATGTATGTATGTATATATCTATCTGTATCTTCTGTTTGCTAATATTAGGAAAGAACGTGCAATTTCTCATTTATGGAGCAAATAACATGGTTCGTGGTTTCATTGTGGGCCTCTTTAAGTTTATAATCTATGGTGCTCCAATATAACACCATGAGCAAATCGCAAATCTAAAAAGTATATGGCACTTCAATGTGTTTTCCTTTTTGTCAAAGTCACATTTCTGGCAGGCCTTTTGCTTTGAATTTTATAGAACGACATGGTCTTGTTTTTCAAATTGGAGGTGAGAGTTAAAGAGAATTTTGAGTTGTATTTAGAGTTTAGACTTGAGTTTACTCTGAACTGTAAGCTACAGTTATGCTGGAAGTATGTTGCATTTAGATTAGGTGGAAAATCTCTGGCCTTCTTGTCACTGAAAAAAAAGGTTGAAAAAGAGATTATGGTAAAAGCAAGAAAATATATTGTCTATCTTGTCTTTAAGTTGAAAGTATCAGTGAGGTTGGAGAAGTGATGTTCTCATTTCTGATGGTTGTCTTTTAGGTTGACTCTTGGATTCCTCATGGAACTCTTATTCATTTCCGGTTTGGAATGATTTAGAATTAGGTTGAGTGGAAATGGACGTTTTCTGTTCATCATTTCTTATTTTCCTCTTACCCCCCCCTCCCTTCTTATCTTCATAATTTTTTCCTTTTTAATTTTGCAGATAGAGCCAATTCCAAGTGGAAATCTGCCTCCTGGTTTTGATCCAAGTACTTGCCGCAGTGTGTGAGTGTTTCCCTAAATTTCTTTTTTTGTTGTTTTTATATATTTCTTTTAATTTCTTTTATATTTTTGTGTATGTTATTTCCCTTATTTCTTAAGCAACTGTACAAGTTGCCTTAATGCTTATGATTATATTCATTGGAGACACTTTTACTTCTTGAATCTGGTGATAAAAAATGTTCCCCCTACCCTTAGTGCAAAATTTTAAGCTAATAGCTCATTTGATCGATAGTTAAATGGTTTTTGGAATTTGATAGATGCTTGTATGTTCTTTCATCTTTCGGACAGCTCAGAAAGTTACTTATAGCCTTTTATTTACTTATTTAATTTTTGAGCAACTGCAGGTATGTGGGAAACATACATACACAGGTTACTGAACCACTACTTCAAGAGGTTTTTGCAAGTACTGGTCCTGTTGAAGGTTGCAAGCTTGTCCGAAAGGACAAGGTATTTTTTTTAATATTGCATCTTTTTTTATTTATCTGAAACTGAGGATGTTCTATTTGATTATCTTTTGTTGCTTAGTTTTTCCTCTGTTTCCTTTAGCCTTTTGATTGCCGCATTATTGATCTTCTTTTCTGTACACTACTTGAGCAGTCATCATATGGATTCGTCCACTACTTCGATCGTAGATCAGCTGCTCTTGCTATATTGTCTCTGAATGGAAGGCACTTGTAAGTATTAACTTTTGGTGTCTCCCTCTTACTTTGTTTTGAGTGTGCATTTCCATCATATCATGTAATTTGCAGGTTTGGACAGCCTATCAAGGTCAATTGGGCATATGCTAGTGGTCAGAGAGAAGATACATCAGGTTTGCTCACATACTGGTTTGCAAAAGTTTGTTATAAAATATTGATGGTGTGCTGGCAGTTTTTTTTTTATAATAATTATACTGTTTGATGGTATCATAATCTGTTCAGGTCACTTTAACATTTTTGTTGGGGATCTCAGTCCCGAAGTTACTGATGCAATGCTGTTTGCCTGCTTTTCTGTCTATCCCAGTTGTTCGTAAGCGTCTTCTCTTTTTTTTATCTTGATTTCAGTAAATGCTTGTGTTGAAGGCGTTATAACTTTCTAAAGCTAAATCCTAAACTATTAGAATTGCAAATTTATTGGTTAGTAAACCTTGGTTAGTGTTTCGTGTTAAAATGATACCACAATGATTTGATGGTGTCAAAGTGAATAACAAATATATATCTCTTTGCTGATTTAAGGGATGCAAGGGTTATGTGGGATCAGAAAACTGGACGTTCAAGAGGATTTGGGTTCGTGTCATTCCGCAACCAGCAGGTACTGTTCCTTGGCTAAGTTTGTGGTGGCTCTTTGTGTTCTATTTTAATGTTGTTTCATCTACTGATGCTTACAACCCCCCTTTTCAGGAAGCACAAAGTGCAATTAATGACTCAAGTGGTAAGAGTGATTGGTTTCAAACTCTCGTATACTTTTCTTATCTTCATTAGTCCGTAGTTTTTAGCTCATCAAATAAAGCGGTGATTTATAGCTGTAATAAAATTTAGTTCATCATATAAAGCTGTGATTTATAGCTGTATAATTTTTTCTCACATGGTTGGAGTAATTTTAATAGGTTGCTAAAATAATAAACTAAAAACAAAAGTACCTTTTTCTATTTATTATGCTATTCCTTGAATTTTCTGAAAATCACTATGGGTAGAGCATTTACTCATTAAGTTGCTTTAGTTGAGCTGGAATCATTAAATTGCATGAATTGTTATTATTGACATTGTAGTCAATTCCAATTGTGCTTTTAATTTATACTTCTAGGAAAGTGGCTTGGCAGTAGGCAGATCCGTTGTAACTGGGCAACAAAGGGTGCTACCAGCAGTGATGACAAGCAGAGCTCTGATGCCAAAAGTGTGGTGGAACTAACCAATGGCTCATCTGGTGCGTGTGTGTGTGTTTTGCTGCAATTCTTTATCTTTTGTTCAAAATATCAAACATTTACAATAATTATTAATTTGTTCAATGCAACCCTCATAACCATTAGTACTTCATCATTTTATTTAACCTTATATATCTTTGTTTTTGTGCCAAATGGGAAATGAACTTACATCTATTACCTTGGATTGCAGAGGATGGTAAAGAGACAACAAATACTGAGGCTCCTGAGAATAATCCTCAATATACTACTGTTTACGTGGGCAATCTTGCTTCTGAGGCAAGTGACCATCCCCAACAGCTCTTCTATATACTACACATTCTATTTATGGTGGAATGGGTGCAACAAAGCATTATGAGTTTACTTTCATAGGATAAGTGAAATGGGTTTTGAAGGACCTAGAGTATTAAGAATAATTAATCTTTTACCTATCAATTCAAACTTTTCAGCCATTTTTGTTGTGAATTTGAAACGCATTGAGTGAAAAGTTTAGTACTTTGACCCGGAGAACTCACATCTTATCTTAAAGCTTTTAGTCCACTTGAGAATTGGTCTCGTGTTCTGAAAGCTCCAGTGACTTTGTACTGTAAAGCAGCATCTTATGTTCTCCAATAATACCGGATATTTTTTATTCCTGCAGGTCACCCAACTCGAACTCCATTGTCACTTCCATGCTCTCGGTGCTGGGGTGATTGAGGAGGTTCGGGTTCAGCGCGATAAAGGCTTTGGCTTTGTGAGATACAGTACTCATGCTGAGGCAGCTTTGGCTATTCGGATGGGGAACACTCAGTCATTCCTATTTGGCAAGCAAATAAAGGTTTGTCTTCTGCTTTTAGTCAAAAGTCATTTGTGTTTGAGAAATATATATGTGTACGTATATAACATGACTGGTATTTTTAATATATTTGGAGGGAGGATGTTCTGGAAATTCTTTCGCAAGTATTCTAAAACGATCCATAGTATTATGAGTTTGATGATTATTAGGGATGGTCGAGTGTTCTTCGGTTCAGTCTTGCACTTTCCATTTCAACCGTCATTCTCGAAATTGACATTTTGATTTGTTTGTACAGTGCTCTTGGGGCAGCAAGCCTACACCACCAGGGACAAGCTCGAATCCACTTCCCCCACCCGCAGCACCCTTGCCCGGCCTTTCAGCCATTGACCTTTTAGCTTATGAGCGGCAACTTGCCATGAACAAAATGGGTATTCATGCTCTAATGCATCCTCAGGGGCAGCATCCCCTCAAGCCGGGAGCAATGGGAGTGGGTGCCGCTGGAGGAAGCCAGGCTATATACGATGGTGGATTCCAGAACGTTGCTGCCGCCCAGCAACTAATGTACTATCAGTGAACATATAAAGAAATAAGTGGTTGCGTGGTAATAACCTTATTTCCTGCATTTTGTTTGCAGGTTTTAATTCTAGTTCGAAATAGGAAGTTTTTTAAAATATTCCCCCTTTCGTAGCGCAGAGGATGCGCCCTGCTTTTATCTCTTATATAGCGTATGTTTGTGTATTGTACCGATCTTGCATATTTCCAGATTTTATTCCAGTTCGAAACTTGTCTGCTAGGAATCTTCTTAATGTGTTTTCTCCTTTACATGTTTGCTTCTTTCTCTTGACCCCTCTACTTTTACATATCCAGATGGTAATTTCTTAATGTATATTCTCCTTTATTTGATTGGGTTAATTGATCGAGTAATCAAGTATGTTCACGTTATTCCACCTTATGTGAATTCGAATCTTTTGATATTTATTTTAAAAATATAATACCTCTGTACTTGATAAACAAAATCACAATATCAGTGCATGCAAGACTGCAACTAACAAACTGCAATCCTATAGTCATAGTGTTAAATCGATCGTGGGATTGTTTCGTTTACGATAGTTCAACTATTTGATCATGTCGAAATTTTATGAATCATGTAAATTATCGATTCAATTTGATATTTTTATTTTGTTGATCTAAAGTAACGTATCTATTAACATATACATTTAGTGATAGAATATTTTTATATAAATTAAATAGTCATATTTTAAATTTATTCAAAATTTGATATATATTATTTATATAAATAGACATAAAATTCATTAAAATACCAACTAAAATTATCTACGTAAATTTCATATTGACTTAAAATGTATAATATACATTGAAAACCATCCCTGAGAATTCAATTTTTTTTATTAATCTACGATGATTATAAGTAATATATGTTCTAAGGATTCTCAATTATTCGTTTTTTTATAAATCTAAGATGATTATAAGTAATATTTGCTCTAAGGATTCTCAATTATTTGAAAATGAAAATTCAAATATTTTTATCGTCTATGGTGCTTGAGCTTGAAATTTTTAAAGATAACAACTGTCATTTGAGTTTGTGAATATGATAGGCCATAAGTTGATTTATAATTTATATTTATCCAAGCAAACATATGTTATCATTTATGCTATTTTTATGTAATATATTTGGGTTTGTATGTATGATGAGTTTGGCATCACAAATTATCACATGGTCGATTCAGTTAAAAAATATTAAATTATTTTAATTTTAAATTATAATTATTAATACTAGCATTTAATAAAACTTTACTAGCATTTCAAAAATTAGCTTATTTTTAATTTTTATGTAATATATTTGTGTTGACAGTGAAACAAAATATAATATTTTGAAAAAAAATTCTAACCTAAAATATAAAGGAATAAGTGTCATACATTTATTAATCTGATTTTAAAATATATAAATTAAATCAGTAATAGACATAAAATTTAATATTATTGTTAATTAATTATATGATAGCATATATCAAAGATTATTAAATTATATTTAAATACTTATTTTTATCATTAAAATTTTAAAAATTATAATTTTTTATTAAATTTATTAATTATTATAAATGATTACTACTATGTTATAATAATTAAAAAAATTAATAGATTTAATATTTATTTTATAACAATTAAATAAAATTTAATAAATATTTTATATCTCTTAAAATTTGAATGATTAAAATAATCAATTAAATATAATTTAAATACCTCTAATAATCAATTAAATATATTTTAAATCAGTTGGTTTAGTGAGATGAGACACTAGATTTTTAAGCAAGGTCAGAGGTTCGAATCCTGACGTTTGCGAATAGAACAAACTAGGTTGGGAGGGTCGCCCTCGCCTCTGCAGTACCCAATCTGGATTAGTCGGTTAATAGATCGGATACCAGTGATTAATTAAAAAAAAACCAAACAAGAGATTAGTTTTAGTTTGCTTGAAAAGCACGTTTCCGAATCCTACGCGGGCAACGTTACTCTAATCTGTTTCGCCTTTATAAATAAGCTAATTTTTGAAACCTGAACTTGAAGAAGATTGCTACTTGAAACTCTGATCCCACATCTAAAAGATGCCGGCCACTGCAGGGAGGGTTCGAATGCCCGCAAACAACCGGATGCATAGTAGCGCCGCCTTGCAAACTCACGCGATTTGGCAAACTGCAATCGGGTATGACCCTTATGCGCCTAATAAAGATGATTCCAAGGGTTCATCGAATCAGGTGACTGCCACTGCCGAACCCGATGGTGGAATCGCATACGCCAACTTTCAAAGGCTTTTAGCGCTTGCCCGAATCTCAGGTCCGAACGCCGACGTGGTTCGTGGAGCTTGTAAAAAGTGTGGGCGAGTTGGACACCTTACTTTTCAGTGTAGGAATTATATAAGTTCGAAGAAGAGTATGGAGAAAGACCCTAAACCGATACAGGCAGCGGTTTTGCATGGACCGGATGGGTTGAAAGGAGGGAAGAAGGAAACGGAGAGCGAGGACGATGACGAGGAGAGTTCGGATTCTGATGTGGATTCGGAGATTGAGAGGATTATTGCCCAAAGATTTTCTAGGAAGAAGTCGTCGAAGAAGAAGATTGATGACGATGATGGTGCTGTTTCAGGGTATGGGGAGAGAAAGAAGATAAGGAGGTCGAAGAAAAGGAGTAGTCGGAAGAGAAGAATTCGTGTTTCCGGTGACGATAATGAAAGGAGAACGAAGAGGAGGAAGGAAAGAGGAAGGGACTGATTCATTGCTTCTATTAGTATTAGATAAGTAGACTCTCTTTACTTAGTTGTTGATAGAAGAAACTGTAATTCCTCATATTTCCATCTTCAGTTTGTGCTTTTTTTATGTTTTCAGCCAGAGATTGATTCAATATATTCAGCTATTTACATTTTATTTGTTTCGATTTGAAAAATTTATATTAGAGCGTATGCTTTTGAATTAATCACAATAGTCGGATATAACATTAAAGCATGGAGACAATCCGCTGCTCATGTTCGGTCCTGACATGGCTCCTAGTAATTTCCTTCGTACTAGAACAACCCGAGAGCGCCATAGCGAGTTCGAGCTCATCTTTAAGCATTTTGAGCACTCGTTTCACCCCGTATTCGCCTTTCGCCGCAAGTCCGAACACAACCGGCCTTCCCACCTGAAACATACCGTTAGCATACAAAAGTATCTTGTAGCTTTGTAATGGTGACTGCAAACTGTTCCAATAAGAAAAATGGAACATGGGATTTATTTCTTAGATGAAGTTATAGGTGGGGGTTTGAGAGCTTACTAGGACAGCCCTAGCACCAAGGGCCATTGCCTTGAAAACATCGGTTCCTCGCCGTATTCCTCCGTCAATGAAAACCGGAACTTTTTCTCCAACAGCATGAACTACCTGAGACCTCATTGGGGAAAAAATTCAACAGAATGACATTCTTCCTGCACAACTTAATGTGCTTTTGGAGTTAAGAATGTAAAACTGATCGATGATCGATTCAACTAACTTAGAGCATATAAAATTCTATAAGCTGCAACTATGTCATGGGCACCAACAACAATAGTAAGTGAAGGGGAGCACCTCCTCCAGAACATCAATGGTGGCTGGTGAATAATCCAGCTGCCGACCTCCATGATTGGAGACGATAATCCCAGCAACACCTACTTCCAGGGATTTTATTGCTGTGAATAACAAGATATATCAGATATTGAACAAGCTATTAAATTGCAGACTAGCCAAAAGAAAGTGTGCAAGTACAAATAAACGAGAACAAGACAATATCGACCGGAATCAGTGCCTCGACCTTACCATCTTCATGAGTGAGCACCCCTTTGATCAGAATTGGCAAGTTTGTAGTAGATTTCAACCAAGCGATGTCCTGCATAACTACCAGAATTAAGAGAGAACAAACCGTCCTTGTATGCATATGAGGCCCTACTGAGTGTTTAAGCCAACAAACAAAGATTTCGTATCGAAAAAATAGATAAGATTCACCTTGGATTATTCAGTTATTATTACCTCCCAACGGAATGATGGATCGAGAGTCCCATTGATCAGAGCTTCCAAACCTGAACCTCCATCCTGTAAAATTTATTACAGCTAAAATGCCATTAAGAATATCAAGCAGGAGAGTTTCTTCAGCTGAGGTACAGCGATTCTTCAAAGATTTTCCTAACAGTAATTAGTTTTTTTTCGAGTTAAATGCATAAAACATAGCTTTTCGTGCACTGGAAGTCATAAGAATTCATCATATGTAAAACCAGAACAATGTATTATCTCAGTCATATAATGCGGATTAATCTGAAGTGGTAAAGCAGAAGAATCTTAGTTCATGAACTGAATGGGGACAATTTTACTTACAGAAACAAATTCAGTTGACAATAGACCCTCCAGGTTCTTCGGAGGAGGTACGACGAGCCTGCAGATGTTTGTCACAAGTAATCTTTCACATGGGATGCATAAGAAATACATAACTTTTCATATATGATGCAAAACCACAACAGTATTCATATCAATGATAGAAAGCAGATGAAAAATGATAATGCAGATATTTCACTTGTTCTTAACATCTGCCTCCCTTCGGCCGATTCTTGGACAATCAACAGTAAGGACAATAGCCTTGTATCCATTACTTTCAGCTTTCTGCACTAGCTTAGCCGATATATCCCGTCTCTTATACACCTACTCCGAGCCAACCAAATTAGTATTCATTTCCTATCAGTGGTATTTCTGAGGACTAAAAAGAAACTGCGGCTGCTAATTAATGATAAAGTTCACATGCTGGTATTCAAAGAGCTCAGGTAAGGCTAAATAAGTAAATATACATATAGTTGGAAGAAGCGAATAGCACTGCAGCTCGAAGCTACTTCCTCCAATGAGCAGGTAGATCCGGTGGATAAAACCTGGAAAATAGACACAAGAATCTCAACTCCTAAACTCAGAAAGGAATTCATTTTTGGACTAACTATTGATCAAAGTTCATATAATACACACACACACACATATATATTATCGATACCATTATAGTGTTACATGCAGATGCTGCTCTGGCTGTTGCAATCTCTCCTGGAATGAAAATAGAAAGGTAGTCGATAAAAATTCCGAAATAAGTTGAGATGAGAAATCTTTGAAGCTTATTAGGTTACACCTTCAGGGTTAGCCAGCTTATGCATAGAAGTTGGGGCAATCAAAACTGGCATTGAGATGTTATAACCCAACACTGTTGTTGATAAATCAATGCTCCTCACATCTCGAAGAATTCTCGGCCGAATACTGAGAAGTGACATATCGTAATCGGTAAAATGATCGAAAACAAGTTCAATATAGATAGTTAATCGGTTTAAATCGCATTACGTGATTCTGCGAAAAGCTTCCTCGTTGTTTTGTAAGGTGTACTGGTCCTCTGCTCCGCCAGTGTAGAAATCATAATACATTTTTGGAAGGGCTTTCCTTGCTAATTCTTTGAATTCATTGACATTAACAGGTTCTTCTGCCATTATCCTGGATTCATGGAACCATAATTTTATGTTTGAGCTTTCTGGTTTATCTAGCTAACAAGCCAATGCATATATGTTCCAGAATTTTGGCAATACTCCTGCAGAAACTTCTGAAAAGGTTGCATCAAACAACATTCTTAGGTAACAAAATATCAATATGAGCTATCAAATCAAACCTTGTTGACATATCAATATCTGAATCAGATGATAAACTTTGTGTTAAGAACAGTGAATATTCTCATATACAGTAATACAGACATGTAGGTTTAAGCTGGTACACACAAAAATATGAGCTAATCATTCTTAAAACAACAAAACTCTTGCTTACATATCTGACTTACATGATATCATCTCATAGGAAGCATGAAAATGACTGAAAGTTGTTTGAGTTACCAATTGGATCATAAAGCTTCTCCCAGAAAATTTTATTTTCTTGAGAAAGTATCTGAAGGTAGAGCAGATTGTATGCAACAATTTGCATGAAGTAGGATAGTTTTGTACCTTCTTAGTTCTTTGAATTTGCCACCCACCTCAGGAAAGTTGGGAAGAATTGTTTAACTATTCTTATCTTACGAACCATACTTTTTATTTGTGAAGTTGCAGAGAATCTTACCCTGGTAGGCGGTGAAGAAGCCGACAAATGCCCCTTGTGGCGATTGTGGCGATTTATGACTTCTTCCACTCACTCTATCTGTCTCTTAGTATACGGCCCTTGTGGCGATTTATGAGCATGATTAAATAATTCCTAGCCATCCATTGTTCTTCAATCAATAATGTTATATTAAAGATTGAAATCAATGATTAAAGAATATAATGTTATATTAATGGAAGATGTATAAAATTGAATAAAATAAAAAATAAAGAAATTTAAAAAAACAAGGACATTTTAAAAAAATAAAGTTACATAGCTTATTTTTTAAAAAGCCAGATTTAACATATATTTATATTTTAATATAATGTATTTTATAATTTAATTTATTAATAATTAAAAGTATAATTAACTTATTTTAACTAAAAATTATTTAATAAAAATGATTAAAAATCAAAAAAACAAATTAAATATTAATTAATTGGGTTAAGTTCATAGTATATAAATCACAAAAATAAAGATCAATTTTTTTAATATAAAATATTTCCTTTGAAAATTTTCTTATCCTACGTGCATACACATAATTGTTCAAACCTGAATTCTCTAAAAATGATTTCTCAGACGATAGAATATAGATACTTTATCATGGCGATTTCTAATAAGACAATAGCATTCAAGAGGCAATGCTACTTTTAGATTCATAAGGCTATCTTTCTTGCTTGAATTGCCTCCGGCATCTCCTTTCCTCTGCTACACCTACATGCAACTCTCTCTAATCATGCAAGAATTTGCAATTTTCTCCGTAATGGCATCGTCCTTGAGCATGGTATCGGCAAAGTTGTTGTGAACGGAAGTCTTGTCTCTGTGGTGGATTACAACGGTTCGTGCTTCTTGGCTGCTGTCTATAATAATTTGTCTCTGGCAATTTATTCATTCCACTTGCAGTGGATTTGTCATAGCGACAGTTCCAGTATCTATCGACAGGGAAGTTCGGTTGGTTGTTCTCGTAAAATTTATTAACCTTTTGAAACTGAGCCTTCTGAATGCTAATTCTCTTGCATGAATTACGAGGAATTTGATTTTGATAAGTGTTCCTCACATGGACATTTTGGCATTCTGGTCGAGTACTTCCATTCCTGACATTAGGACAATAACCAAACTGCGGTTGAGTTGCAAGCCGATGAGTTTCAGGTAAGTAACCTGATTGCGGAGTCATAACTGAAAGTTTCTCCATATTGGAAGTTGAACTCGACCGTTGGTGTTCGGGTGCTACTCTGCCTGAATTAGTAGAAGAACTTGGCTGTTGAGGTTGAACTTCCAATGGTGTTGAACATAACTGGGACTTGGACGGGTTCTTACTCTTTTCTTCCCCTTTTAAGATCCTAAATTCCAAAAAATGATCAGAGTAACTAGAATGAGATTGATTCCAAGAAGAAAAATACTTAGCAATTAGCATCACCACATAACTTATTTTGAAACTTTTTATTTTACCTATTTGATCTGAGGATTTTCCTCCTCTCCTTTTCCTGGATCCGGACTTCTCTATAAGACCTGGCAAGTGAGCCCCGCGAATGCTTTTCCATCGAAACTTTTTGCCTCTCCCCTTCATCTTCCCATTTCTGGCGAATATTTACGATAAGCTAACATTATATTAAAAAAATCAATGAATAGCTGAAAATAAAAACCATTGCAATGGCTCAAACCTGTCTTAAAGTCTTCAGTCGGTAAAGGTTTCGACCCTTGATTAGGAGCGGGTGAAGTGGGGGAAGCGGCTTCTCTCCTTTACTCCAGAGGACTTCTATCTGATCACATTAGCCACAAACATCATTTTAAAGAACTACATTAGTTTTGAAGGTTTATATCTCATTTACAAGGGTCATTTAGAAACTGCATATCTTCTGCATGCACAAGGATCAGGTATATATAAATGGATCTATGATCTTTCTATCTTGAGTTAGTGCCTCGAAATATTAGTTAAGCCGTAAACGGATATAGCTTGACTAGGAAATACTATACACACTTTCAATATCTTCTTCTCCTTTTCTAATCTAAACATGTTAATTCAACAGTATAGTCTGACTCACAGTAAATGTATGCTGCTGCTTGGCAGCGCCATAGCTTTCCTTGACAATGCGCCCTGCAACAATTCTTGTGCCACATGGAGGACCAGAAGCACTTCGTGATGCTAAGTTAAACCTGAAGCAAAAAATAAGATGTGGTAACAAACACAAGATATAAAACTCGGTACAAGGTTAATTAGTCAAGTTGGAAGATATCAGAATCTAAGTAACCAGACTTGGGGTGAGAGGAACATATCCGACACATATATGACATATGCTCAACTTTTAACGTTGACAGTATATTCGGTGGATCATAGCCATAGCCAAACACTGATGCTTTAGAGAGAAAAAATGAGGAATTTGGGTATCATAGATAAGCATGCAACATGCATAGTATAAAACTGCCTAGATCGGTGTCGTATGAAAGGACAGGTTACATGTATGCTCCTTATGTTGTTGCACAAAAAGAATTATTCTTACACTTACATTTCATAAACATTCTGCTCAAACATAACGACATCTCCAGTGCATGCATCACCTGCACCAGATTCCTTTGATTCTTAGAACAAATTTACAGAAAGGGTAGGCAGAAATCTAAAGCACCTTATGCATAGAAAAGGAAATTAGAAACTCTGGGTTCAGTAAGCCATGAACTAAAGTGTTTACCTTTACAATTCAATACAAAGCTGGATATTGGATACTTCTTCTCCCCTCCACCATTTGAAACCCTAAAATAAATAGAAAGAAAAATTAAAAATAAATTATACGAATCTACAAACCATGAATGATGCTATTGTAGAAAATGGAGATTACTCTAAATGTTCCTTTATGCGTTGAATAAGAACATCCTTTTTCCCACTCAATCTAATACCATTTTTCCTCAAATAAATCTTACACTCATCTACTTTGAGCTTCTCTAGCCTCCCATCTGTCAAGCGTTGTAACAAGGAACTCAGATTTCCAAAACAAGCCAGCCATGAATCGATATAATTTCAGTGAAAAATGATAATAAGTACTAACCTTTTATAATGTTTTGAACATTCTCGTAAATTTTATCATCAACAGGTGAAAACCCAATCCCCAACTCTGGGGTTTTCTCATTATTCAAATCGGAATCCCTAGCAAAACTGCATAAATAAACAAAATCCAAAAGAAAGTTGAAACTTTAGCACTATCCAACACGATAAAACTAAGTTTTAAAGAAAACCCAATTAGTTAAATACTAATACGAATTGGGGGGATATGGGAATTATCTTAACCTTGATTTTTCCTTGATAGACAAATTCTGAAATTTGGTGTTGGTGTCCTCTTCGTCGCTGTAACTTGGGTCTGTACCATAATGGTAATCTGGGTCGGACCCATAGTTATTACTGCAATCTTCTTCTTCAAAACTCTCATTGTAATCTTCGGAACTTCTTCCGTCAGAGTCAGAGATTGCCATTGATGAGTGAATGAATTATGAGAATGAATGGTGAGCCTGGTACTGGGATTCCTTGTTCCAATTACGAGGTACGAGGCTTTATATGGAGAGAATTTGAAATTCATTTTTTTTTTTACCGTTGGATATTTAATTAAGCCGATTTTTTTTATTCCGCCATTTAAGATGCCCGTTGACATCTTTAAGGAATGTTTTGTCTTTAATTATATACCAATAAAATAATTATTTTATTTTTTTAATCATCGATATCTCTGATTTATTAATGAACCGATTTGGATTGAGTACCGACTCTCCCAACTTAATTTAGTCTTAATAATAGAAGTGTCATTGATTCGACTTCTTAAAAGATTTTATTTAAATAAGAATAACGCATTAATACACACTATATGCTATTTAAAATTAAATCCTAAGACCTTGACTTTTTGTTCATAGAATTATGTGATGTTTAGGATCACCATTCATTAGTTCCAATATTAACGAAACAAGTATCACATAGGCTATATGGTTTTTGTAGTGGAGAAATATTATAGCAATGAGAGGAGCTGCCTGTCATGTTTGGTTCTAACATGGCTCCTGGTAATTTCCTTCACACTAGAACAACCAGCAAGGGCCATGGCGAGTTCAAGCTCGTTCTTGAGCATTTCGAGGACTTGCCGGACTCCGTATTCTCCCCTTGCGGCAAGTCCGTACATAACCGGCCTTCCGACCTACGGTGGGCGTGACAAGCAAACTCACAAGTTACGGTAATTTCGGGTAGTTAAATTCGTGGCGGGAGTCATCAATGGAGGTTTAAAAGCTTACTAGGACAGCTTGTGCACCAAGAGCCATTGCCTTGAAAATATCAGTTCCTCGCCGCACTCCTCCGTCGAGGAAAACCGGGACTTTTCCACCGACGGCATGAACCACCTGCAACCTCATTGTGCATACAAAATATGAACCGAATTGTTAGCCTGTTAAATTCACAAATAGAAAAATACTTATTGCAGGGAAAGACATGCATCAGCATTGTGGCAACAATAACGGTATCCAAAGAGAGCACCTCTTCAAGAACAGAAATTGTGGCAGGACAATAATCAAGCTGGCGAGCTCCGTGATTGGAGACGATAATACCGGCAGCACCTACTTCCAGAGCTTTAATGGCTGTGAATAGGACACAAATAATATCGTGTCAACGACTACAATGAGGAACTCGAACTAAGAAAGGTAGTGCCTCAACTTTACCGTCTTCTCGAGTGAGTATCCCTTTGATCAGAATTGGCAATTTTGTGATGGATTTCAACCAACCGATGTCCTGTAGAAATGACAATGAATTAGTTAAACCAGTACCAAAGCATGGCTGAAACATGCCTGAGAATGGAACTTCTGCACTAAATATCCTACAAACATATTACAAAACAACATGCATGATTTATCGATGTTTACCTCCCAACTGAATGAAGGATCACGGGTCGAATTCGCCAGAGAATCTAAATTTGAACCTCCACCCTGCAAAATATACGACATGTTATGTAGATTTCATTATCAAAAACATCAAAGTTGAAGTACTCGTTTCCGACGCAGTTTCATATAAGGGTACGGTGACATGGAAAATGCAGAATTTGGACTAATCTTCTCACGTCAAAAAACTTAGTTGTAAATAGACCCTCCACGTTCTTCAATTCAGGTACAATGATCCTGTAAAGGTTCAGCAGAAGCAATTTTCCACATTAGAAGCATAATTCATAGCGTTTAGCACACCAGTTCTCAATCTCCATAAATTAAAGCAAATTCATCTGAACATGTAAAAGGAAGTTTAATGAACGAGAGAATGCTGATACTTCACTTGTTCTTAATGTCCGCCTCCCTTCGACCATGTCTCGGAGAATCAACGGTTAGAACAATGGCCTTATATCCATTATTTTCAGCTCTTTGCACCAGCTTAGCTGTTATATCCCGTCTCTTATACACCTATTGAGACATAAAACAAACTAGAATCCAGTGCCTGTTACACTATGATATTAACAGAGGTAAGGCAAGGCGGAATACGTATAATTGGAAGAACCGAACGGCATTGCAGCAGGCAGCGACTTCCTCCAAAGTACATGTCGATGAGAGAGATAAAACCTGGAACGAGAATCGACGGTGAAGCAAACATCGAATCTCTTAAGGCACCTAACAACATTACATATATATGTCGTACCATAATTGTGTTGCATGCAGATGCTGCTCTGGCCGTAGCAATCTCTCCTGGAATCAAAACAAACAACTAATGACTACAAGTAGGAACAAACTTAAAAGGAACTCTTTGTAGAATGTTTAGACCTAAAGGATTTGCCAGCTTATGCCTGGACGTTGGAGCGATCATGACCGGCATCGAGATATTATAACCGAATACCGTAGTCGATAAATCGATGCTGCTCACATCTAGAAGAACTCTAGGCTGAATACTAACAAGTTACAGATTAGTTATAATATTGGAAACTAGTTGTCGGTATTGGATTCTTTATATGATTTAAGACGTTACGTGATTCGATGAAATGCTTCTTCGTTCTCTCTTAAGGTGAACTGATCTTCAGCTCCTCCATTGAAGAAATCATAATACATTTTTGGAAGGGCTTGCCTAGCTAATTCTCGAAATTCATCAATATTAACAGGTTCTGCTGCCATTATCCTAGAAACACAGCAAAAGCAGGAGGAAAATCATAAAAGTACACATAATGAATAACAAAAAAATAAAATAAAATCAGAGCATGAGTTTTAAGTTCAGACCAAAATTAATGAAAGCAAGCTAGCTGATCTGTGAAAAAGCATACCTATTGCAGCTGAAAAGCTTCTGCAGAAATGATAGAGAAGGGTCAAGAGTAATAGTTTCAGAACCTTATTAGTTTCATTGGTTATTCTTGCTTACTAATTACACTGAAAACAAACAAAACAAAAAGTTTGCAGAGAATAATTAAACTGATGAAGATGAACTTTGCCGTCTTTGACTTTGCTACCTCTGCTACCTTGTAAATGGTGATTTTCCAATGATCTAAAATATGATCTTATTGGCTATAATATCAAGATATCTTACATGTTCTGTAGGTCATGTGATGTTCTCTTGTCTCAACTCATAATTTACTTTTACTTTTCTTTTCTAGCTTTTTTTATTGATAATTTTTGAGGAGTAAATAAATCGAATTTGAAGGAATAAGATTATATTTGTGTTTATTTATTTTTAAAAATATTCATATTTGATTCGTGTCCATTTAAATTTTCAATATCATATTCGTATTTTTAGTAGTAGATGTTGGATTAAAATCTATAATTGTGGCCATATATGTGTAATTATAATATTATCATAAGGTATGACACAAAATTAAATGACCAATTATGTTATGGAATTAAAGTGTAGATACCATAAGTTTGTATTTATAATTTGATGAGAAACATAATTATAAATACTTAATAGATTGACATAATATACATTCTATATAAAGAGTAGTGGTCTCCAATAAATATGTTAACTTGTATTATTCTTATCCCGGTTAGAGAGTTTTTACGGCAAGAGCAAACCTATCTTTTTGGAATATTACAACCAAATGATTTCAACCTTTTAATTAATTCCGCATATAGTTTTCTATTCTTGATGATTTAACATGATAGATCTTGGTTTAGATTTCATGTTTATTATGTTTTGGTTCTAACGAAGAAGAAATAGTTACCTCCAAATGCTTGAAAAATATGACTAGATTTAAGATAGTGTTACTAGCATCATCATGGACGTTAACAAATGTTTCATCACATTCGTATGAAGCCTCAACCAGTAATCTCAGAGCATCCAACTGATTGTATCTCACGCACAAGTGTAAACTTGTTTCCCCACGATACAACTTCTCTCCAATCGACTCGGGACAACACCTAGTCAACACATTTATAACATCAATTGTCCCTTTAATGGCTGCTAAATGGAGTGGTGTTCTCCCATCCTGGTCTCGAACGGAGCAGGAGTTCCGGCTTACGTCGAGTAAGTATTCGACGAGTTCGGCATGGCCTCCAATGGCAGCCAAGTGAATCGGCAGTCGATGAAGAGCGCCGAACTCGACGGATAGCTTCGGTTGTCGACGGAGGAGCATTGTAGCGAAATGAAGGTGACCCCGCATGATTGCAATGTGTAATGGAGTTTCGTGGAGACAAATACAACCCTATCGAGAACAAGCTCATCTTCTTCCAGCTCATCTTATTAAGAGAATCATTGAAAAAGTGATGTCATCTCCAATGGTGTTCTTCGACTATTAACTTTAAACATGTGAAATGCAAGAATCAAGAATCAGTGCTTACCTTTAACGATAATTAAAGATTTTGACAAAATATTCTCTACCTTTCTTTAAAGTGAATTTTATTGCTCAATAATAATAATATCAATTATTTTGATATACACAATAATTTAGAGGTTCGTTATGAATTTTTTATTCTGTTTAAGTTGGATTATGATTTAATTTTAATTTTTATCGTATTATAACATCATTGAATTAGTAGGATTTTCATATAAGATTGACAATATTGTAAAATATTAGGGTACAAATTTATATAAATTTAAGGAACGAAAATAAATTGTCAATAGAAAATACAAATAAAATACTTAAATTTTATGAGAATGTGAAATTAGCAGAGACTATCCCGCTAACCCTCAGTCCATCCCTAATCAGATACCGTTGGGGATGTTGTAAGGTTCCGGAGAATGTGACGCTGTCCGTAACATTGACATGACCTTGGGATGAACCCGTCCGAGCCAGACGAGAAGGCGCATGGTGGAGAACATGGCAACGATTCCGAGCAAGAAGAGCCAGCTATAGAACGTGCCGATGTAGGCTTTATTGGCTTGATCCAACATATGATCCGGGGTAACGAGCAACATCGAGTACAGATACGTTAGCGTCGTGAACGTAATGGAAAAAATCATCGCCACCGTCATAAGCCACGTCGAGACCTTGTTCTTCAAAGGTAATCCGCTGATGCCTAACATCACAATGCTGATCGACGCAAAGAATGAGACGGTGGCGAAAATTATGAGTAAGAAATAAGCTCTAGGGTACACATAGGCTAAAACAGAAGTTCCCGGTTGGCAAACTCCATCTCTGGACAAACTACAAATTGGTTCCTTGTCTTTATGGTAATGTTGTTGCCAAACGCCGCCAGGCGGGCTGAAAGCAACTTGGAAAGAAATGGTTGCGGTTAATGTGGCAACGAGCATCAGCGAACCTTGCATTTCCTCTATCCAATTGCCTTGGTGTTTCATGTGCTTGTTGCAGACTTGACGTAACCGGACGAGCCATGATGATTTCTTCGCGTTTGTTTCGGTTTTCATCCCTCCAATGTTCGGAATCGGTACTAGTCGTTGCGTTTGAGATTGAACGATTTGGTTATTCGGGTCTTCAATTCTATTAGCTACTGCTCTCATCAAAACATTTTCTACTTCAAGGGTTTTGAAATCTCTTGGAGAATGGTTTATCAAGTCCAAGGCAGTGAACCCCATTCCATTGACTGTGTTTATCTCAGCTTTGATTCTGGATACGGAAATAAGATATCTTACAATCTGCATGCACGCGCAGAAGGAACATAAACATATTTATCATGATCATAAGTTCATAACCACAAATTCATAATCCCAGAAACACTACCAAGTACTTATCATTAAGGGTGAATATTCGATCAAATTGAATCGAGTAAAAAAATAAACTTATTTAAGTTGATAAGTCATATTTGATGACTCAAATTATATTTTAAAGTTTTTTTAGTCAAATCAAGTCTATGAATTCGAGTTGAGATGTTCGAGTTTTTATACAAATTTAATTATAATTATTTACAATATCATGATACAAATTGGTTCTAATTTATCGACTTTCTCTAACCATATGATATATACCTATATACTTATTCACATTTTAATGTTACTTAATAAATCAAATACTATCTAAGATTATAAAATATATTTATAATATTATTTTTTAAAAGGTATTTTGAGGATAAAATATTGATAGGAGTATAAAGCAGTCAAGGAATTGATAAGAGTATAAAACAATCAAGGAATTGATGGGAATAAATAATTTGCTTAAAGATTACAATCAGAAGACTAAATCAAATAAAATTTAAAGTTAAGGGATTAAATTAAAATATATTAAATTTATATTTAAAAATAGGAATTGAATTTACATGAGTATTCTATAGAGCTAGAGGAGAATGTGGTTCCAATTTGATAAAAATAAACTTAAAATGAAGGATGAATTGAAGAAATAAAGAAATCATGCAAAATTAATGGGCTAAATTAAAAATATAGAAAATTTTGTTATCAAAAAGAGTAATTGAAGATACATAGGTATTCTAGAACAATTTAGGAGCATGTGGTTCAAATTTAATAAAAAAAATAGACTTAAAATAAAGAATGAATTGAAAGAATAAGAAAAATTAAGGACCAAATTGCAAAACCGTCAAATATTTTTTTAATTTTCGGTTGATTCGAAAATTTCAAATTCCAACTCGTCTCGAACTCAAAAACTAACTCAATTACTACTCGAATAACTTGAAATTAAAAAAATAATTACTTTTTTTAAAAGGATATGCTGACCCCTAATTATTGAAAAATGGGAACTGAAAATATGTATAAATGGTTACCTCCAAATTATTGAGAAATGTGGCAAGATGCAGGATGGTGTTACCAGCATCATCCCGGACGGTAACAAATGCTCCATTACGTTCATTTGAAGCCTCCAACAGTATCATCAGAGCTTCCAATTGATTATATCTGACGCACAAGTGTAAACTTGTTTCCCCACGGTACAATCTCTCTTCTGTCGCCTCGGGACAATACCTGATCAACACGTCCAAAACATCAACTCTCCCTTTCATGGCTGCCAAATGAAGCGCCGTTCTCCCATCCTGGTCTCGTACGGAACAACAACTTCGGTTTACGTCTAGTAATTGTTCGACGAGACCCGCATGGCCCTCGATGGCGGCCAGGTGAACAGGCAGACGGTGAAGAGCGTCGAATTCACCCGACAGCTTGGGTCGTCGACGGAGGATTGATGCGGCGAAATGAAGGTGTCCACGCATGATGGCAACGTGTAGGGGAGTTTCATGAAAACACGTAAGTGAAACCCTATCGAGAATAAGCTCATCTTCGTCGAGCAGCGCATCCATGGCGGCTACATTCCCACTTATTGCTGCTTCGTACACACTTCTTTCCATGTTTTGCATCCTTAACGAAAATTAAAGGAACTGATGTATATATAATACATATGGCGCCTGTAGTTTATACTATCTTCACCAATGCACGGAATGCTCTATTTTTAGCCGCACCCAAACTATCGATTCCTTGAACATCTTCCACACATACTTTACCCGAATACTACGCTTTACAAAAATTAATTAATTAATCTTTGATTGTATATTGCTTGAGATATAGTTTTTGTTCATATTTGTTACATAGACGAGTATTTAATCGAGTTAAGTATTCAATCAAATCAAATTGAGTTAAAAAAAATTCAAGTTATTCGAATTGACGAAACTTATTTCATAACTCAAACTTTATTTAATTATTTTCGAATCAAGTCGAGTTTGTAAAATGCATGTTAAGAAATATTTAAGTTTTTATTTGAAATTAATTACAAATATTTATAACATTATGATACTATAATTTAAACAATTTTCTATAATCGATACGATATCTATATGTACTTTTTCATATCTTTTATATGCAACATATATATATGACTCAAGTTGAGCTTCAAAAACAATCCTACTAAAAATTTTGAATTATTAAAATTTTATTTTATAACTCGACTCGAATTTAAATTTTGTTTGAACCTATTCGAGATTATAAAATTATATAATTTCATATTAAATTTATTAATAAGCACAGAATAAAAGAACTAAAACAGTCTCAAACGGGTTTGTTCACATTAAATCACACACCAACATTTATTTGGCCTATAAAAAGTGGCACTTTTACCCCTTTTTGACTTCCAAATTACAATAAAAAAATTAAAATACTAACAATGACAAAAGAATAAAATATTACATTACTTCAAATTTTTTCAAAAAAATCAACCAAAAAAAAACTATAGGACCCCCACCATTAAGCTTAACCCTACAGCATTACCACCCAATTTGATACTGGATATGGAGTATTTTGTATAAAGCATAGTATAGTTACAGAGTATGCACATATATCACGGAGGTGCACAAAGATCGTAACAGTAGAGCGAAGGGTGCAAAGTGATGGCTTACTTCATTCGGAAGCTTGTAATAAGAATGTGAAACCAGAGTGACCACGAATCAAAGGTGGTGGATCGATTTCAGCCACCTCTATTTGTTGCATTGACTTGGAGATGTCATCCATGGAAAATGGAATGCTGCAAAAGAAGAGATCAAAATGAATATAGTTCGTTTTATAACCATGGACGAAAAAGGATCCTTTTGATGAAGATGTTTGTAAGTCTGAATGTGATGATAACTGGTACCTTGAATCATCATCCAGTAAGAATGAACTGCTGACAGCATTGTTGGAATCCTCGGTCATCATAACTCTCATACTAGCAATTACCTGCAGCGAGAGAACATTTTCCGGTTAATTTTGATATAAAGGAAGCAGCAGCTAGCGAGTGGTGATGTTTGAAGTGTTGGCGTGTGTAATAGACAAAAGTTGGGAACCCGACGATGCCATCAAAACCATTAATGCTATATGGTAAAGTAAGGTTCATAATAGAGCTACCAGGAATTCATATCATTGGAAAATGATAGCATCCTTGTAAATAATAAACACGAGATGTCAGTAATAAAGATCGGAAAATGAAATCTACTGTCACACCATGTTGTATCAGCTTCATGTTATTGCGAAGAATAGAAGGTAACCAGGGAAAAAAGAAGAGAAAAAAACACTAGCAGTTTTAACTTACATCTGAAGATACACTATGTGTACCATATTTGTCATCCCAATACATTGTACTTATCCTGTACAACTGCTGTATGCTAAGCACCTGATATTTAACAGAATCAAAAGAATAATTAGGAAACTTTGGGGAAAAAAGGAGATTTTAGTGTGCAAAAGATGTATAGGCAACTCACTGGACAAAGATCGTTGGTTATTTCTTTCAAGGTCTTTTTGGGCTTCTGGTGTATGACCTATTTCGAAAGAAAATGAAAAATGAAGGTAAAAAAGAGAGATTAGAAAAAAATGCAAATGTAAACACCACAGTAGCAGAGTAGCATTAGATACGAACGAGGAAGCCAACAGCTTGTCTAATATGCTTCAGCTCATCCCAGGATGAACCTGCAAACTGAAATGTAAAACCGGTATTCAACATTTATTGTATTAGAAAATCAGTAAAAAAAAGGAGGTTATGATGGTTCGTCAGAGTACAGCATTGCTACCTCATCAGTTGCATCATGGCACCATTGTTCCAGCTCAGCTAGCCCAGCTTTAACATACTCCCCATTGCTGAATGAACAACATTCACGTCGCAAAAGAAGGCTGCAAAAACAAATTTAAAATGTCAATAAAAATAGTGTGATAATGTCAGAGCAGTCAAGAACAAAAAGGTAGAACCTCAAAAGTTTTTTTATTTTTGGAGTGCATTTACCTATTAAACAATTGAACATTGATGAATGAAAATGTCTGAGTAAACACTTTGCAAATTAAGAACGAAGGAACCTGCAAAATCGAGAGAGCAAAGAGAATTATATCGCCATAATAGAAAGCAATTCACTTGGGGTTAAGGCATCTTGGAGCCTCACTCACATAATTTGCTCTCATTGTCTTCAAGTAATTGTTTAAAGTTTTCACAATGCTTTGCCAGTGAGCAATAAGAGCTTGTTGAGCCACAGCATTTGCTTGAGAACGCCCCTTTACTAAGCTAGCCCGGGAAGTTCTGGGTGCCTGCATCGAAACATATGTGAATAGGGAGGGAGAGAGGGTACCACTTTGTTCCAATTCTAAATAAATATGCCTTTGAGCGAAAGTAGTTTTAGATTATAAAAAAATCCACATTAGAGCCGGTTGCAGAATAGAAAATTGCATAAATAGATCAATATGGACAAAAAGAGTAATTTGGGCCTCAATTTTGAAAACGCGAAACAAAGCAAATTCAAGTATTCTCTCCAATTTTTGTAACTGCTAAAAAAATGTTGGGCAGAATTGCTCTATAATACCTGAATACATGATGCAAGAACCGGAGATATCTCCTTTTTCAAATTGTCCCTTATCATTCCATATATCTTCTCAAGGAAGGCTGTCAGTTGCTGTTTGAAAAGCAAAGCCGGATATTTCGCTTCAACTTGCCGTAGGTCATCAAGACCACCAAGCAGCCGACCATTAAGAAATGAGAAACCAGCACTTTGTGGAGAACCTCGAAGTCCCTAAGAGGTTAAAATCAGAAGTCAGGTTAATGAGAAGCCACAGGTTGAGGTATGCGTAGATGCTTAAAAGATAAAGTGACAGTGATCCCTACTTGAGACATCCTTCCAAATAGAGAAGCTGATGTTGATCTTCGCCTTTGTGGTGTTAGGCTTGCTGCACCACTTGCTTTGAGTGTCCGTTGCAGCAGCAATAGTAAAGTGGATGAATTTGATAACCAATAGGATAACAAGTCATTATTATCGGCTACCTAGAATTAGGAAATATTTTAAACACGAGTATTTATATAGTAATAATAGAAACAAAAGAAATTTACTACTTTATAAATTATCCCATTGAAAATTTCCATGTGATCAATCCAAATCAAAATTGATCTGCCAAAAAATAATTGCTATTTATTAATCACCTCTATTGAAGCTCCTATGGTTTGAATTATTCGATCAAAAATACTTGTTCTATCAACTTCAAATGATCTCCAATGGAGCAAGCATTTATATATTAGGCAAGCAGCAACCGGCTTGCCCCCAGAGAATCCTAAATCTTGAGAAATACACTTTATTAGAAGTTCCTGATTCTCCTGCACCAATCATAAGAAAGATGTTGTAGTTCATCGAAGCATTCCAAAAAAACAAAACAAAACAAATAATTTAAACATTTTAATAAAGATAAATTTCCATGTTAATAAGTAAGCACCTATCTAGTGGCCAAAAGAAGGAAAAAAAGTATGCATCTTTCTCATAATTTTCAAAAGTGACCTGTTGCTTTTCATTAAGAGACTTTTGGGGCTTCTCCTCGGTCTCAGTCAACTTTGGATTTGGTAGAGCTTTCTTTATTTCTTCATTCACAACATTACCATTTTCAGGAGTCCTCTGAAAAATTGTCGTCTTGGGTCTTGCTGCCAAAGCTCTGCCAGTTGGTGACATGGAGAGTGCTTGTTGACGGAGTACCTGGTTCTCTGATTCCAAATTAGAGAGCCTCTCTTCTAGTCTGAACCATGGGAAGAATAAAAAGTTGCAAATGAATTAAGCTGTGCATCATATCCAATCTTATACATGTATATAAACCGGTAAACATGCAAACCATCAGTGCGAGAGCTAGCAGCAAAAGATATTTAGCATCCTAATTGACAATGTAACACATGCACATATTACAATAACTCCTAAAATAGTTGATGGCTATGGTAAAAGGACCGCCGTGAGAAAAAAAAAGTCATGGCTGCAAATTACCCAAGGTGACTCCATAAACAAGCAACTAAGTCATAACTAGTCCTACTGAAACGGTAGTAGTCAACCATGGATTTCATTTTCAATATCATGGTATCACTATCAGTGACAAACCTCTGCAGTGAATTTTGAAGCTGATCTGCTTTCTTCCCAGCATCTTCAAGCTTCTTAGTCAGGTCCACGTTTTTGGCTTGCTCAATGGCATGAGCTTGCTTTGCCTCCTCAGCTGTTTGCCTTTCAGCCAGTAGTAAAGCCTGCAGAAATTAGAAAATTGTTCATTAGAGCCAAGAGATGAATATCTAGAAAAAAAATTGTGTATACACAAATCTGAAATTGTCTAAGGAAAGAATAAGTAAAACAGAAACAAATTTAAATTGGAGCTAAATAATTTGAGCAGTACAAAACTATGCAAGCTCAATATGAGTAGAAAATCAGACGCGATGTAAGAAAATACTGCTCTCTCAAATACTTTGTAGTATACGATCCTCAAATACTTGCATAATCCGTTTTTTTTATTCAGAGTACAAACAACCATCTTTCAGCCTATGCAGAGTCGAACAACCATGTTCTACTTATGGAAAAATATATGCCACTTCTGACAAGAACGTATACTTACCTTCAACTCCTCAACTT